TATGGGGAAACCCATCTTTCCATGGCTGTGGCACTTTGGTGACAATGTTAGAAATTGATTTGACCGGCAGAATCTTAGATTTTACGGGCACATCCCATACCATGATATTTAGGCAATATCTCAGCTTGAGCCTGATTCTGAAAGAGACATCTCACAGGAGATTTATAAGCCAAATGCTCTCAGCCCCTTCAACTAACTCCTCCCAGCGCATGACAAGACAGGGAGGCGGGGGAGGGGTACTAGGAAAGAGGACATATTGGAGAGTTTCTGATCTTTTCTTCCATGGTGGCCTTATCTTGGCCTTTGATAATACACGTGGGCAATGACAAGCTCTCTGGCACCCATGCCATGCATCAGGATTTGCTTGGAAAAAAAAAAATAAGATTTGCTTGGGGGTGGGAAAAACACATTCCTTACACTTTCTAACCTCACCCTTGTTCACAGGGACAACAGTAACTCAAGGTGTAGTGGTGTTTATGCTTAAGAGAAGAAGCTGTAACTCAATTCACTGGGAAGATGAGAAACAAAAGAAAGCCACTGTGTGCTGTGTAAATGGCTAGCTGTCCCAAGCCACCTTGCGCTGAAGAGCCCTGGAAGGACCTTGGTAAACTTGTTATCATGAGGCCTCTGTGTGGTTATTCATGTTAGACCTTAACATAGGGAAAAGATCAACATTTTACCAAGTTCACAAACATCAAACAAGAGCTTCAGGATTGCTAACGAATATCACTCATCTGGGCAGACTGACGTAGATTTGAATCCATGACCACCAACCTCACCTGCAGTCTCCACCCTGCCTAGCTAGCTTCCATTCCAGTTACTAGTTTCCATTCTTTGCAATGATCATTTCATACTTGCTCTACCTGTTTCAGACATCAGATGCCCTTCACCTCCCTGCACCCCAACTTTCAGTAGACAAAAAACTCATTATTCATAAAGAAACCTGGAGGCATCAGAGTGAAATGTGCTCACCTTCAAGGCACCAAGTCCCCAACTCACCTACCGTGCTCCTACTGGCTTCTCAACCCATCCCTTCTGTTACAAAGAAAGAAGCAGTAATGGCCCCATCAATGGCTTCACACACTTTGCATGAGAGGCCTTCAACTAGGGCTTGCATTCCCACAGAGACATGAACACTTTCTAGAAGGTAGGTGGGCACAGATAGTTTTAAGGGAATCAGTTTCAAGAGCTTCCTTCTTCATAATTTTCCTCTCCTCATATTCATCAGCCTAAGAAGGAGCCTTAGGTCGGCAAGTTTGCCTCCCCAACCTCCGCTTTCCCAGTTGACCTTTCTTTCATTCTGACTCCTACTCTGGCATCTCCCTCTGCAGTATTTTCTGAAAAACAAATAAAAGGACCACTTGAGAATGCTCTGCTTGAGGAAGTCCTTGAGAGATCAAAGCCAAGAACATCCAAACATCATTATAACTGTATTCCATATGTTCACATAGCTAAGTAGAGACTTAGAAAAATATATATATATTTTTTAAATACCCAATTGAACTTGTAGAGATGAAAACTAAAATGTCTGATAAAAAAAGGAAAAATCCCTGGATGGAATCAACGGTTTAGACGTTTTAGGAAAAAAAAAAAGGATTAGTGGCTTGAAGACATAGCAATAGATATTATCCAAAATGAAACACCAAGAGGAAAAAAAAAAAGTTTAGAAATAAATAAAGAGCATACACAATATACAACAAGCAGAAAATATGTCATTTACAACTATTTAAAATTATGAAATAATTTAGGCATCAACTAAAAATGAAGACGATGCATTTAAAAAATATATTTTTTGTGGGCTTCCCTGGTGGTGCAGTGGTTGAGAGTCTGCCTGCCGATGCAGGGAACACGGGTTCGTGCCCCGGTCCTGGAAGATCCCACATGCCGCGGAGCGGCTGCGCCTGTGAGCCATGGCCGCTGAGCCTACGCGTTCGGAGCTTGTGCTCCGCAACCGGAGAAGCCACAACAGTGAGAGGCCTGCGTACCGCCAAAAAATATATATATATTTTTTGTGAGGGTACATGCACAAAGGATTTGAAGATGCTACTCTAGGTACCATCTCCCTTGCCCCTTTCTCTATGACTGCTCTTTTGATCATCCCATCTCCCTTCTGAAGCATCCTTTTCTTCCTCTCAGCTGGCTCACTCCCATAGGCACATGTACCCACTATTATCTACATCTTCAAGAAAACCCTTCCTTGACCCCCACAACCCACCTCCAGTTATTGCCCAATTGTTCTAACTCCATTCACTTCTGCACCCGCCATCTCTGCTTCTTCGTCTCTCATTTACTCTTCAATCTGTTCCAGTGTGGCTTCCACTTCAGCCTCTCCACCAGAATTCCTCTTCTGATACTCAACAGTGACTTTTGTGTGTGTATGAGAAAACATATGCATGAGTTTATTCACTGCAGGATTTTGTACACACCAATGACTTCTCTGTTGCTAAATTAAATGGATTCTTTTAAATTCTCATCTTGCTTGCCCTTTCAGTTATTTTCAATAGTTTATCACTCCCTTTTTCAGCAGTTTACCACTTCCTTCTTCCTAGCTTCTAAGACACAACCCTTTATTTATTTATTTATTTATTATTTTTTTAAGATGTTGGGGGTAGGAGTTTATTAATTAATTTATTTATTTTTGCTGTGTTGGGTCTTCGTTTCTGTGCTAGGGCTCTCTCTAGTTGTGGCAAGCAGGGGCCACTCTTCATCGTGGTGCACGGGCCGCTCACTATCGCGGCCTCTCCCATTGCGGAGCACAGGCTCCAGACGCGCAGGCTCAGTAGTTGTGGCTCACGGGCCTAGTCGCTCCGGAGCATGTGGGATCCTCCCAGACCAGGGCTCGAACCCGTGTCCCCTGCATTAGTAGGCAGATTCTCAACCACTGCGTCACCAGGGAAGCCCCTCTTTATTTTCTTCTCACCTCTCTGGCACCTCTTTATCAGATTTCTTGGCTGGCACCTTCTAATCATTGCAGCTTCTAAGTACTGCCATCCCTGTCCTTGGTCCTAAGGCTCTCTGTACACTTCTTCCCTGGTGATCTCACCCAATATCATAGCTTTAAATACATATGTATACCCATGACTCCCAAGAGTAAATCTCCAACCCAGACTCTCCTCCGGGCTCAAGGCTTGTATTTCCAACTGCCTACTTGACAGCTCCACTTGAATGTCTCAAAGGCATTTCAGGTTTGCCGTGTTCAAAACTGAAATCTCAATCTCTCCCCAACACAAAATAATGACTCTATCCACACAATTATTCAAGCCTGGGAGTCATCCTTAAGATCTCCCTCCCCCTTACTCCTCCTTCCCCCACATCCAGTCTAGCACTGAGTCCTGAGATTCTGCCCTCAAAAGCTGTCTTAAATGTGTCCGCCTCTTTCCATCTCCACTACCACCACCACCATCCTGGCCAAGCCCCCATCATCTCTCACTTGAATGATGAGAGTAGCCTCCCAACTGTCTCTCTAATTCTGCTCTTGCTCCCCTTCAATCCATTCTCCTTGGAGTAGCCAGAGTGAACTTTTTAAAATATAAATTGGGGAATTCCCTGCCAGTCCAGTGGTTAGGACTTGGCGCTTCCACTGCCAGGGCCTCGGGTTCGATCCCTGGTTGGGAACTAAGATCACACAAGCTGCGCAGTGCGGCCAATATATATATATATATATAAATTGAATGACACTCTTCTGCTCTAATACTTCAATGACTTCTAATTACCCTTAAGAAAAAAAATCTCTTTACGTTTGGACTACAAATCTCTTTACCTTTGGCCTACAAAGACTGCCATTTGACTTCTTATTTCTCCAGCTTTATCAGTACCATTTGCCTCCCATCCTTCAGTCCGTCTAGGAAAAGCCCATTCCTACCTTGGGATTTTGAATTGCTCTCCTCTTCCCCATTGCTCATCTGATAAACTCCTACTCATTTTTGTCAGTCAGACATCACTTAAGATGTCTTCCCTGGGGCTTCCCTGGTGGCACAGTGGTTAAGAATCTGCCTGCCAATTCAGGGGACACGGGTTTGATCCCTGGTCCACATGTCTTGGAGCAACTAAGCCTGTGCGCCACAACTACTGAGCCCGTATGCCATGACTCCTGAAGCCTGCGCACCTAGAGCCCGTGCTCCGCAACAAGAGAAGCCACCGCAATGAGAAGCCCGCACGCCTCAAGGAAGAGTAGCCCCCACTCGCCACAACTAGAGAAAGACCACGTGCAGGAGCGAAGACCCAACGCAGCCCCAAAAAATTGACTCTGCAATTTAAACTAGGTTTCCCTGCTTTTCTCTCATAGCACATTGTACTTTCCCTTCATAGTTTTATTATAGTTGATGAATATATATTTATTTGGGTTTTATCCAGCTTAACTGAGATACAGCTGACAAGTTTGTGTGATTATTTGTTTGCTGTTTCCTGGATTGTAAACTCCAAGACGGCAGAACCCACGTTAGTGTTGATATTTGCTGCCCTCATCCCATCTGCCCACTTAGAATTGTGGTCTGGCACATAGCAGGTGCTCAATAAATATTTGTTGAGCGAAATGAATTAGTGCACTCTTTGAGAACCCTGCCCTGTTCCCTAGGAGTAGCTTTGAATCTCCGCTTAAATTCTGGATAAGTGTTATTAAAGTTAGGACTGAGGGTAGGTGTTGCAGGTATTTCAGCTCACAGACCCTCTCCAAACCTCGCCTGCCACTCTCCACCCTGTAACGTGTAGTTTTCTGCCCATCCCTCTCTGTGTTCCTGGCTATCTGGTATCATGCACCATCCCTAACAATCACAGACCAAATAAAGAGAAAGACTGTGACATGGACTCTAAACGTGACCGCGTTTGCGTCCCAAGGCCGGAATAAGACGCCAATGACATAGCTCCCTTTAGGCAGGCAAAGCGCACCACTCCCCTCCCCCCCCCCCCCCCCCCCCCCCCCCCCCCCCCCCCAGACCTGGGGGATTCCACCCCCACCGCCAGGAAGCTCGCGCTCGTGCCACGACTCGGATCTTCCGTACAGCATGGCAGCCCCCGAAGGCGTCGCCCACGGCAGTGCCTTCCGTACAACATGGCCGCCTACAGAGAGCGCATCGCAACCCTCCCGCCGGGCCACCGGAAGTTTCCGTTTGAAACCCAGGCGGCAGACCCGGTCTGCGGTACGGCAGTTATTGCAGAGCATCTTTTGAACCAGAGGGACGAGGCCTGTGGGCAGGAGCAGTAGGCGTCTGGGTTCGGCTCTCCCGGGGCGGGAGACTGGGCTGGATGTGGGAGGCCGATGGGATGGGCTGAAAATGGAGGATTTTCTCTCTCCCGAGTCGCGCTCTTCTGGGGCCCTCCGCCTGCTCGGGCACCCTGGCTCACTCCTGGGTAACATTCACCTTGTACCTTCCAGGCCCCAGCCGTGCCGCCTCGTTACGATGACCAGCGTGGTCAAGACAGTGTACACCCTGCAGCCGCCCTCTGTGCTGAGCAGCGGCCTGTCCGCAGGTGAGTGTCCACACCGCCCCTGCCCCCGGGCATTGCGAACTGGCCCCGGGTGGTCAAGCCAGGAGTATGGGGGATCAAATCGGTGGCTGGGAGTGGAGGGCTCCGGCAAGGGAGGGGGTTCTTTCGGCTCTGACATCCTGCTCTAACTCCCCTAGAACCGGGCTGTCTAGGCTTATGATGGGAGTTCGGGGAAGGGCCACATGGTGGGAATTTAGACTTGACCCATACCCCTGCTCCCCCAAACCGAACTCTGCTGCATTCACCAATTAGATTTAAGTTGTTGATTATTCTACAATGTTATTCCCGTTAAGCTAGGAATCCCTTTTTAAACATTTACCTGTTTTATTTCCAGACGAGCTATCTGGAGGGACTGGGTTTATTGTCAGGGAGGAGAGAAGAGAGTCATATGAAAAGCAGGATACTTAGGGAGCCACTAGGGTTCACACTGTGTCTGGTTCACATTTGTAACGGCGCAGTGTCTCTTATATAGTACATTCTCAGTAAACATTTGTTGAGTGAAGTGAGAGAGAAGGGTCAGGCCTAACTAGTATTCGAGAATCTTGGGAGAAGAGTGATGGTTAAAAGCAATGTTTGGGACTTCCCTGGCGGTTCAGTGGTTAGGACTCTGTACCTTCACTGCCAAGGGCCTGGTTTCCATCCCTGGTCGGAGAACTAAGATCCCACAAGATGCCCTGCGTGGTCAAAAACTAAATAATTAAATAAATAAAAATAAAAGCAGTGTTTGATTGCTTTGCCATTTGCTTTGTGTTACTTGGCTTGCGGCTGAAAGTCATCTCCTAGAGTCTGCAGTTGTTGAGCTGCCTAATCTAGAGATTATAGCACAGAATAGGCTTCAAACATCCGAACCTGTGGTAGGAGATTTGAAGCAGCTATTTAAGATCCCTTCCCAGATGACTCCATGCAGTTGACTGATGAGCAGTAGCAGGATTGACCTTTGAAGTAAATAGGCTTTACTTCAAAGGCTTCAAAGGGTTCTGTTTGTCCTATGTTGCTTCAGAACACCTGAGTGGCGATTCTGGCATCAGCAGGACCTAGGAGTTGATGGAGGAAATGGAGCCTGTCTTACACTGCCTTTCCCTTAGAAAGCAGTCTCTCGTTCAGTGGGGAGCGACTGGCATCTCCCCAGCCAAGTTGGAAGTTTTCATCTCTTTGCTTTTTTCCTTGTCCCAGCTTTATGATCATATGTAACTTCAATAGGCTGCCTCTCAGGATTTTAGATTTTAGGCATGGGTTGGTTGTTTTTTAGTTTTTTGAATAGGTAACATTCAAAATAAATAAATATCCAAAGTGAGGAAACGATATACAGTGAAAAACAAGTCTTCCCTTCCTTGACACCAGCCATCCAATTCCCTCCTTCGCATCTCTCATTTTAAGGAGGTAGTCTTTGTTAAATCCTGCTAAATTTTTCCTATGATGCAGTCCTTAGGATCTAACAAATATGGGTTATTGAAATCAATTCCAGTCAATGAAGAGTGTTAATTTTGATCTATTTGCTATTGACACCTTTTCACATGAGATAGATTTCTTATTGTGTGTAACTTATTAATACTTGAGAGAGGAGAAGGTAGATTCATGCACTCAAAGTTACCTTTTCCTTCCAACAGAGACCTCAGAAAGAACCTTTTTAATACTTGTTTTGTGGGTATTAAAGGGGGAAAATAGGATGTAAGTGCCGATTGAGTGTACCTATAAATGAAATAATTTGTTAGCCTGAGAAATCATATTTATTCCAAACTGTTGTGCAGCTAGAGTCATCAAAATAAATCTTTATCAAACACAAAGTTTCCTAATCCCTGTGATCCAGTGCTTTGTACCTCATTTCTTCGGCTTGATTTAATTGTTATGGCTCTTAATTTAGGTCAAGCTTAAAGGAGCCGTTTTACAATGAACAAAGTGAAAGTTAGTATAAACTAGAAGAATCCTGTGCATGTGCTGGGGGTGCGTGCTTAACTCCAGAACAAGTTACTTGAATTTGCTATCGAATGTAAGTGGTGGAAAGATGTGTGTGGTAGAGGGCTGGCATAAGGGCTAGGGGGGAAATGCTCTCCTCTGGCGAAGAAGAATGTCATGTCAGGGCCATTTCTCTGGTTATCTGGCAGTAGCCTAGCAGGATCAGAACAGAATACCAAACAGGGAACCTAACGAGCCTCTAAACTTAACGATGGATAAACAGATTAAAAGGGCTGGTGGTAGGGGCTTCCCTGGTGGCGCAGTGGTTGAGAGTCCGCCTGCCAATGCAGGGGACACGGCTTCGTGCCCCGGTCCGGGAAGATCCCACATGCCGCGGAGCGGGTTGGCCCGTGAGCCATGGCCGCTGAGCCTGCACGTCCCGAGCCTGTTTTCCGCAACGGGAGAGGCCACAACAGTGAGAGGCCCGCGTACCAAAAAAAAAGAAAGGGCTGGTGGTAAAGGCATTCAGCATGGAAGAGGGAAAGAAGAATAGAGGAGCTAGTTTAGAGATGGTCTGTGAAATAACCCATGAAACTGTGACGTGTTCCATTTATTCAATAAGTAGGTTTCGAACCTCTGTTAATATGCCAGATACTCTCCTAGATGCTGGGGCACAAAGATGTCTCTTAGAGTACTAGTTAGGGAGCCAGTCTGGTCAAAACAACTAAGCAACTGCTGAAACTCGAAGAAGCTTGAGTGTAGCCTTAGGAGAGCAGGCAGAGTGTTTAGGAGCTGAATGACATAGTTCCTTTCAACTGCTGTGTGACGAAGGACTCAGCTGTGTTCTGCCTTGCTGATGGCCACACTGCCTCTCATCCTCTGCTGTATGAATCTCCACTTTCACATCTATACCCTCTGGCCATTCAGTTTGCTGTATCAGCAAGCTTTTGGCTACCCTCAAACACACTGTACTGTCACATTTAAAGAATTTTGGTTTCTATTCCCAAATGGTCTAGAAGTCTTATTCTTCTGAATTTATAGAGTTGCACTGTTGGGTCATGATGCATGGGATTCCACCCTCTTGTTTTCCTTTGCAGATGCACAAACTCGGGCCACTTCTAAGAGCCTATTACCTGTTAGGTCCAAAGAAGTCGATGTTTCCCGACCTCACTTAGGAGTTTCAGAAAGTGATGTTACAAAAATCATCAAACCAAGACGAGACAATGGGTGAGAGTCAGAGCATCGGTATCCAATTAGAACATTGGGCTAGAAATTGCTCAGTACCAAGAATTAGGGCTTTTGAGAGCACAGGGTATCTGAAGGATTGGCCTGTAGTCAGTGGCCTATAGCAGTGCAGCATTGCTGACCTGTTTGTCAGAACCCTCTATGTTGATCAGGTCAGAAGATGCACAGCCAGGGTTACAATAAGAGATATTCTTTCCTCTCTCAGCATTTGCTGTGAGTGTACAAATAGCAGCACTGCAGTCAAACCAGCCTTAAGTGGTAGTCGTGGCGGGTGGGGCCTAGTTGTTGGCCTAGGTTGCTGCTCTGAGCAGTCCAGCCCAGTGTAGTGTGCATGTGTGTCCCTCTACCTGGTGTTCAACTCCTGTGTGAGTGAGGCTGACATGAAGTAGCCACACTGTCTTGAGCAGAAGCAGGTCTGTCAGGTTGTTAAGGTGGTCAGGAGGGGAGCCCGTGCCCTATTCATAAGCTTTTTTTCAGTAGTCTGGGCTGAAACAAAAGTGCATGGGCCCTCAGAGCTTCTCAAGTTTGTGCTGTCTGGGACTTCCCTGGTAGTCCAGTGGTTAAGACTCTGTGCTTCCACTGCAGGGGGCACAGGGTTCGATCCCTGGTCAGGGAACTAAAATCCCGCATGCTGCACACGGCCTGGACAAAAATACAAAAAAAAAAAAAAAAAGTAATAACAGTACCGTGATTCTCTGATTGATTTCTTTGTTGTTGTTATTGTTTTAATTGAAGTATAGTTGACATACAACATTGTGTTAGTTTCAGGTGTACAACATAATGATTTGATATTTGTATATATTGCAAAATGATCACCGCAGTAAGTCTAGTTAACATCCTGATTTGTTTCTGCTTCTCTAGGCAGCTGAGAGCTACAGACACTGCCACCAGGAGGAACATCAGGAAGAGGTGAGCGTCAGGGTAGATGAAGCCTGGCCACCATTTTAGGGTAGTGGAGCTCAATCCTGGCTGTACATCAGAATCACTCACAGGACTTGTTTTACTGTGTTGGAGTGTGATGCCACCCCAGAAATCTAGATGGGATTTTCAGGGCTGAGGCACAGCTGGGTTTGAGAACCACTGTCAGGGCAAGAATCAGTGATGCTACCATCTTGAGTACCAGACAAGAGTTTGGGGGCTCCATGCCAGGACCACTGCCCCAACCTAGCTATGGCCCATCAGCAAGAGCGGGAAGCCCTCAGGATGGGAGAGCCTGCGTGTGGTTAGTGAGTTCGAGATGAGTGTTCTGCTGGGGCTGCTGCTGCTGTTGAAATTCTGGAGAAGGATCCATCTTTCTCTGCTTGAGACTTGCTTGGACATTTTGCAGTCCTGCAGACAGAAATAACATAAGCTGAAAAGTTTGTAGACATAGGTTTTAATTCCATATCTGTTATTTGGGCATGACTTAAAAGTTCTGAAGACAAAATACTATCAAGGACTCAGAACTTTGAAAAGGCTTAATATTGATGATGATAATGGCTATTACTTTTTTTTGATTTTTTGCATTTTATTTTTTTATACAGCAGATTCTTATTAGTTATCTGTTTTATATATATTAATGTATACATGTCAAACCCAATCTCCCAATTCATCACACCACCACCACCACCACCACCACCACCACCACTTTTCCCCCTTGGTGTCCATACGTTTGTTCTCTACATCTGTGTCTCTATTTCTGCCCTGCAAACCGGTACCATTTTTCTAGGTTCCACGTACATGCATTAATATACGATATTTGTTTCTCTCTTTCTGACTTAATTCACTCTGTATGACAGTCTCTAGATCCACCCACGTCTCTACAAATGACCCAAGTTCGTTCCTTTTTATGGCTGAGTAATATTCCATTGTATATATGTACCACATCTTCTTTATCCATTCGTCTGTTGATGGGCATTTAGGTCGCTTCCATGACCTGGCTATTGTAAATAGTTCTGCATTGAACACTGGGGTGCATGTGTCTTTTTGAATTATGGTTTTCTCTGGGTATATGCCCAGTAGTGGGATTGCTGGGTCATATGGTAATTCTATTTTTAGTTTTGTAAGGAACCTGCATACTGTTCTCCATAGCAGCTGTATCAATTTACATTCCCACCAACAGTGCAAGAGGGTCTCCTTTTCTCCACACCCTCTCCAGCATTTGTTGTTTGTAGATTTTCTGATGATGCCCATTCTGACTGGTGTGAGGTGATACCTCATTGTAGTTTTGATTTGCATTTCTCTAATAATTAGTGATGTTGAGCAGCTTTTCATGTGCTTCTTGGCCATCTGTATGTCTTCTTTGGAGACATGTCTATTTAGGTCTTCTGCCCATTTTTTGATTGGGTTGTTTGTTTTTTCGATATTGAGCTGCATGAGCTGTTTATATATTTTGGAGATTAATCCTTTGTCCGTTGATTCGTTTGCACATATTTTCTCCCATTCTGAGGTTGTCTTTTCATCTTGTTTGTAGTTTCCTTTGCTTTGCGAAAGCTTTTAAGTTTCATTAGGTCCAATTTGTTTATTTTTGTTTTTATTTCCATTACTCTAGGAGGTAGATCAAAAAAGATCTTGCTGTGATTTATGTCAAAGAGTGTTCTTCCTATGTTTTCCTCTAAGAGTTTTATAGTGTGCGGTCTTACATTTAGGTCTCTGATACATTTTGAGTCTATTTTTGTGTATGGTGTTAGGGAGTGTTCTAATTTCATTCTTTTACATGTAGCTGTCCAGTTTTCCCAGCACCACTTACTGAAGAGACTGTTTTTTCTCCATTGTATATCCTTGCCTCCTTTGTTGTAGATTAGTTGACCATAGGTATGTGGGTTTATCTCTGGGCTTTCTATCCTGTTCCATTGATCTATATTTCTGTTTTTGTGCCGGTACCATATTGTCTTGATTACTGTAGCTTTGTATTATAGTCTGAAGTCAGGGAGTCTGATTCCTCCAGCTCCATTTTTTTCCCTCAAGACTGCTTTGGCTATGGCTATCACTTATTAAAAGTTTTGTGTCAGTAGCTGTGCTAAGAATTGTACATGTATTCTCTCTTATCCATCATGATAATAATATTACGAGATGTGTGTATTAATTCTAGAAATGAGGAAACAGCCTCAGAGAGGTTACACAACTCCCTGAAGGTCATATACCACTATGTGGTGATGCCAGGATTCGAACCAACTCGACTCCATAGCCCATACTCTTAACCCCTCCACCACTTCATCTAAGTACAATTATCATTACAGCTATAAGCCACTGAGTAAAGAGAAATCAGAGGAAGAGCTCAAGGATAAGAACCAGCTCTTAGAGGCCGTCAACAAGCAGTTGCACCAGAAGTTGATTGAAACTCAGGTAAGCGATCCACCAGACCTGCCATCAGCTGCACTGGGTGATGCATGTGGAATCCTGAGGGACCACGCCAGGTGCCTGAGCACAGAAGGAGAAGATGCCAGGCTTGCGCTGTGGCTGCCCCTGAGGAATGGGGCAGGCCTTACCTGTCTGTATGGCACCCCTACAGGGAGAGCTGAAGGACTTGACCCAAAAAGTGGAGCTGCTGGAGAAGTTTCAGGACAGCTGTTTGGCAATTTTGGAGAGTAAGGGCCTCAACCCAGGTAAGAGATGGCACACAACTGCCTTCAAAGGAGTCAGTGCATGTGCCCCTTCCTGGGTGATTCTGGACTGTGCATCAGGGGTCTGGCATGGTGTCAACTGAACTAGTCAGTGCAGGGGTTGCCTAGCAAAGCCCTGAAGATTTGGGGGAGCTCCACTCTGTTCTGTTGTGATGTTGACTTTGCCTGCCCAGCGGAGTTTCAGATGGTTGTGCAGAGAGGATTCTCTCTTTCTTATCTGAACACTTTATACCATTAGTTTGGTGCTGACAGGTATGATCTTGCAAATAGATCAGAAATATTTTCTTTCTTTCAAGGGATATAGCATCCAGGTAACCTTCACAGGTGGAGAGAGAGATTATACTGTTGAAAGGGTTCCTAAAGCTGGCTAGTTAGCAGAATCACGGTGTTTAAAATGTGATTCCTGTTCTGACCCTGTCCCTAGAGGGCAGAGTCTGTCACAGAGAGGAAGCGGAAGAAGGGATTACCCCAGGACTGTAAGAGAGCCTGAATTGAGGAGCCTGAGAATGTCCAGGGAAGGAGCCCAGGCTTGTTTGAATTAAGGAGTGCTGACTTTGAATGCTGCCATTAACCTGTGCATTTTAGGATATATCCTTGATAATCACCATATACGTTTTTGGATGATTTTAATTTCCTACGTGTATGCACTGTTTTTACCAAAAATAATAAAAATTTTTAAGGCCTGAAAAGCTTTTAAAAATAGTTTTGTGTATTGTTAACAAAACCAAAAAATACAACCTATACATTTCTTTTGGACAAATTTTCCGCTGAGCTGAGGAGAAAGCAGGATGAAGTTTTGGCCATATCCATACCTAGAGAGGAAGGGGAGATAAAATCCAGCTCCGGAGGGCAGGCGTGGGTGACCTTGCCAAGGTGGAAACTCAGGGGAGAGAGTTTTCAGATGCTTAGAGAAGTTTCCCTCATGAATACGCCTGTGGAGGGATTTTAATTTTCTTTTAAGTTACAGTTCCCTAGGCAAGGCTGACTTTGTTGTATTTACTGGTTTTAGGCAGTGAGACCCTGGCGCCACAGCAAGACTCCACCACGGATCACATGGACTCGATGGTGAGGGTGTGGGTGTGAGTGGGCAAAGGCCCAGTGAGCGTGAGGCCCTGCAGATCTAAGCAGGTCTCTGCCGTATGCTCGGCAAAGCCCACGAAGCAGCCTTCGGTTATCCAGGGTAGTGGAAGAGGGTGGTGGATGTGTACTCAAAATAGCATATTTTACTTGGAAGGTGACTTTGTGCTTACAAATATGAGTGAGTCTAAATTGAAAATGTACTAGTTTAAAACCTGTAGTAGGGTGGACCAGTAGAGACAGCTTTTTGGTTTCTCTATTCTTTGCTTTACCAAATTTCTCCCCTTATTCCTTTGCTGAGAACTGTGTCTTACAAAGGTCCAACCTGAATTAAATCCGTCTTCTCTTTGGTTCCCTCCCTGAAGTAGGAGGGCAATTGTTTGCAATTAAAGCCTTTTGAGCTTCTGTGATCTATTCCCCAGGAAGATCAGTTGTCATCTTAGAATCCTAGAATACTAGGTATGGAAGCCTTCCTCAGCTCCCCCAGGCAATTTGTCACCCCTTTAGTGGCTACTGCCTTTCGTTCATATTACCTGTGTAGCACAGAGCACGTGGAGGTGGGGTTCTCTGTCCATGCTGTGGACTCAGTTCTTCCAGGCCCACAAGAGCCCGGCACGTTTGCAGACACTCAGTCAGTGACTGAACAGATGGGATAGTAGCGATCATCTAATTCAACTCCCATGAAGAGATTAGTTTATATGAAGAAAGTTCTCACATTTCAATGAAGATTTGTTACTACATTGTACTTTTCTCTTAGCTGCTGTTAGAAACTTTGCAAGATGAACTGAAGCTTTTTAACGAAACAGCCAAAAAGCAGATGGAGGAGTTACAGGTGAGAGGCAGACATCTCCGCAAGGCAAAATTACCATTTCCTACTACAATAGGTGGATCTGTGGAGGGCTCTTTCTTATTTATCTCTTTATTCATTTTTAATAAACTATTTTGTAATAATTTTAGATTGCAGAAAAGTTGTAAAGATAATGGAGAATTCAACTCCCCTAATATTAACATCTTACATTACCATGCTGTATTTGTCAAGACTAAGAAACCAATATTGATGCCTTACTATTAACTAAATACCAAGACTTTGATTTCACCATTTTTTTCAACTAATTTTCTGTTCTAAAGACTCTTGGAAATGTGCACATCTGCAGGGCATGAGGCAGTGTGCAACACGCTAGGTGGCTCCAGGTTGACAGTTGACACCTGTGTGAAATCCATGCTGTAGAAACTTGATATCTCAGGGAAACCTGTAATAGGAAACCCTGATTCTTGGGTCTGGACCGCTTTGGATTGCTTGGATGAACCATGGGATACTACACGGAATCCTAGAGGATTTCCTTGGTCCAGTTGAGATAACAGACTGTAGTAGAGAGAGACAATTCCTAAAACCAACACAGATAAACAAACCTAAGATAGAAAAGACAATGTCTGTCAGTATCCCAGTGGTCTTCCTCAGTGAAACAGAAGCATAATGTTCTGGTTATGGTATTGTCTTTCCTGTGAGTCAGAGTTTGGTGGGTTTTTGTTTTTTGTCTTTTTTAATATCTTTCCATGCAGGCCTTAAAGGTAAAGTTGAAGATAAAAGAAGAAGAGAGGGCCCAGTTCCTAGAACAACAGACCTTATGTAACAGTCAAGTAAATGATTTTACAACAGCCCTTGAGGAAATGGAGCAGCTATTAGAAATGTGATAAAAAGCAGGTGGCCACATGGCTCCCTCTTGGGGATAAACTCTCAGAGGAAGCCCCTTAAGACATCTGCTTCTTGGCCACGATCTTCTAGGACTCACCATCCCCGGAATGAAAACAGTTTCTGCAGTAGGATTAAGGGCAGTTTATGCTGGAATGGCAATTTCTCCTTTAAGCAAGCATTCCCAGCCTTCACATTGGCCAGCTCTCCTGAACCTCACAATACGTAATTGAGGCCTACAAGAGAGGGGGCCTGAAAGCTTGGATCAACCTCCTAGGCAACAGAGCGGCACAGAATTAGTATCAGGAGACTAAACCAGCCACAGCCAGAGAAGCCAAAAGGTCACATTCAGACCTGGGGGAAGAAACAGTGGTGCGCAGGTGCTCCACGGGAGACATCACTGAGGAGCCCTGTGGTCCCCTCGTAACTTGGAACCCATTCTGTCCCATCCTGGTTGGGCTCTATAACCTCACTGTAAATTTATGAACTGGAAGTTACCTGAAATGGTTTAATAAATGGGGTGAAGGTATAGATAGCAATAACATCTATGAAACAATACACCTTGGAGCTTTTAATCTAAATCAGTTCTGTTTTTTTTTATAAAGTGTTACCTTTAAAATAAATATTTCTGTAACTAATCAGACTGCAGCACTGGCAAATGAAAATAGCCTTTTAACCTAAATACATCCACTGAATACTATTGAACTAATCTAGGTAACAAGTTCAAGCCTCCAGTTTCACCCAGAATATTTTTCTTCCACTCATTAAGTGCTCTGTGGCTACTGCCCTCTCCACACACCCCAACCCCATCTTCCAGGAACATTAGCTAGTCTTCTGTGGTGTTCCCTGTTTGTAGCAGTGGGTGCCACACTCCGTCCACCAGGTTTGTGTCACTAGCTGCCTGCATTCCTAAGTATGCGTGTATCTCTGCTCTTGCTTTACACGGCCAATCCTGGACCTGGCCGCCTGGATCCTTAGTCAACTGAAGTCCACAGCAGCCACACCCCACCCCTGCAACCGCCAGTTCACCAAAGGCACCACCATATTTCATAGTCAAACTAGGCAGACTTTGGCTTTGGCCATCTCCCATTTTTTTCTGCACCTCTCCCAATTTCTTCAGCAGCTCCCCCTGCTCTTCAGCATTATTGGGGCTGCCCAGAGCCACCCAATCAAGTCAAGTAACGTCCCACCCTAACTTACAGGGCTAAAATTCTTTTCCTTCATACACATACAACATTCACACTGTTGGTTATGTCCCCAATTTTTTTTTTTTTTGTCCCAAATATTTTGATAGGGAAACCCAGTTAAATAATTCTCACTGGTGAGAAGGGCTGAATATTTTCTTCTACCCATTTTCAGGATGTTTATAGTTTAAAAGATTTTTACCCAAGTGAATTTGTAATTGGCATTTCTGGTCCCCCCCAAAAGTTCTACTTCCTTCTTGGGAGGAAAGGGTGGGAAACTCAGCTGTGAGATCCTTACCTCCTTGTCATGCCTCCCTAGTTAACTCCTAAGAATGTAACCATCCCAACTCCTCCATTACTCATCTTGCCCAGTGTTGAGATCCTGTTTGCTCAAGGTCTGGCCTCACAAGGGGCCTTCACCTCATGGCGCTGCTTTGCACCACCAGCCAGCATTTGTGCAGTCTTGCCTTTTCTTGTGTTCCCTCTGACCTCTGCTGCTCCATCTGCCTTTTGTACGTGTGGAGGTGCTGTGGTGCTTATTCTGATCTACAGCCTTGATAAATTCCTGCATTATATGAACCAATGTGATCTGCACCCTCCACTTTGCTAGATGCTATAGGAAACTTTAATGTAGCATGACATTCTTCACCTCAGAAATGCTTACAGTACATGTGAAACATTGCACAGGTGATATACAAGTTGAATAACAAAGGCAATAGTTTACTAAACAGTGGGTTGTGTGATATAGTTGTGTGCTATAGTAGTTAACTCTGAGCTAGTTCGGTTGGGGGAGGCTTGATGGAAGCGGTAAACTGGGGTTGGAGCAAGAGTAATATTTAGAGAGGCTAGCTAGAGGATTGAGAACTTTCCAGGTTGGTGAACACATGGAGATTTGGGGACAGTAGTGCACTCAGAGAGGGCATGGAAGCTTCATGCCCTTTCCCCATGCACCTCTTCCATCTGGCTGTTCCTGAGTTACATCCTTTTCTAATAAACCAGATCTAGCAAATAAAATATTTCTCTGAGTCCGTGAGCCATTCTAGCAAATCAGTCAAACCCAAGGAGGGGATCATTGGAACTTCCAAGGAAAAAATAAAATTATGAGAGACTGAAGAAAAAAAAAAATAATTGAGGGGATATCCAGATGAATCTTGAGGAACTCAGTAAGAACACTGGGCTTCAGAAGGTTCAAGATGAGAGGGGAGGAATTCCCTGGTGGTCCAGTGGTTAGGACTCTGTGCTTCCACTGCAGGGGACATGGGTTCGATCCCTGGTTGGGGAACTAAGATCCCGCAGGCCATGTGGCACGGCCAAGATATTTAAAAAAAAAAAAAAAAAGATGAGAGGGGATTATATCTGACACTTAACCGAGCACTTGTAATATGCCATATGTGATGTTTATGTGTGTTCCTCCTTATGTTCATTCTCATGTAATCCTCATTACAGTCACACAAGGTAAGCACTATTAACCCTTTTTATAGCTAAGAAAAAGGCTCAGAGAAATTATATGAAATTAATCCATATAATTAATTAATTTAATTAGTTAATGAAATGAAGTTGATTTGCCCAAGGTCAAACCACAAGCAAGTACTGGAGAAAGATTTGAGCCAGGGAATAATGGCAGTGGAAAGTACATGGTGCTACTAGACGTTTTGAAGAAACTTAAAAGCAAGCTAGGAGGTGTGGATTTTTATCATCCGGGCCAGAAGTTTACAAACTGTCTCAGTTCACGATGCTCCTAGTGTCTCAATATTTTATGACACACCAAAAGAAATACCTAAAAGTTCTATTTTTAAGTAGATCCAAATAAATCTAAAAAAATATTTTTATTTTTAAATAACTACAATTATTTACTAATGGGATGTGGGGCACAGTTTAATTTCTCAAGCCTTGGAATCAAATTGGACACTACCACCTTCCTATCCTATTTGACACTGAGAGGAACATAGCATGACCCTTGGGGTTTGCTAAACAATTTCATCTTACAGTAAGAACTTACGAGCCTGGATATTCAAACTTGAACCAGCTTGTACATTTACTAGTCCCTGGAAGTAAAGCAAAGGAATGGCTCCAAGAGATAAATTAGAAGGTGCCTATGGAAGATTTTCGCAAATATGAGGCTGCAGATCATCAGAAATGTAGAGAACCTGCCCACAATCTATATCAGGTTATTCCGAAAATCTTCTCCACCTGGGGGTGGGGGAACCCTTGATATGAAAGGCAGTGAGCTGAAGAAGAAAACATTTTGGTCCGGACAAGCTGACAGGGCCTGGCTTTTGGACTAATGAATGGGGCACTGTAAGAAGGAACACCAAGTGTTGTCATTAAATATGTAATCTCCTTTATTCCTCCTTGCAATGGGTGGTATTGTTTTCATTTAAAGATGGTGAAAGGGGGGACTTCCCCTTGTGGTCCAGTGGTTAAGAATCTTCCTTCCAACGTAGGGGACTCCGGTTTGATCCCTGGTCGGGGAACTAAGATCCCACATCCCACAGGGCAACTAAGCCCGCTTGTGCCTCAACTAGAGAGCCCGCGTGCTGCAAACTACAGAGCCCACGAGCCCTGGAGCCTGAGCGCTGCAACCAGGGAGAAGCCCGAAGGGCACAACGAAAGATCCTGCGTGCCACAACTAAGACTCGACGCAGCCAAAAATAAAATTAAATAAATAAATATTTTTTTAAAAAACTAAATAAAGATGATGAAAGGGAATTCCCTGGTGGTCCAGTGGTTAGGACTGTGCGCTCTCACTGCTGAGGGCCCGATTCAATCTCTGGCGGCTTGGCCAAAAAAAAAGGATGAAACAGAGTCTGAAAAGATCCAAGAAACTTGCCCAAAGTTCCACATCTAAGTAGCAGAGTTGCAATGGCGTCCCTGGATTCAGGGCGCTAAACTACCTGAGATGAGTTCTT